AACTCCCAAATTATTTAAGCACAATTACATCAAGAGTCACCACTATCAAAGAATATTTTTTTCACAGCAATACAACTATTTTTTTTTCTTTTTTTTTCTTTGTCAATTAAAGTGGCTCTTGCTCTTTCCAATCAGTGCACCTTTCTCCTTATTTCATTGGTTCCACTCAAAAGCCAAACAAACCACCCCACACTTTAACTTTTACAAAGTTCATAACAATTCAAGTGCTCGTGAGAGGTGAAAAGGTTCAAATATATGGTCAATTCAAATAATTGGGTAAGACTTGTAATGTGGTTGCCAAAGAAACGGGATTATAAGCTCAAAGGGGTTAACTACGATACATCACAATTAGGCGGGTAAAATATGTATATATGGCTCAACAAGAAAGGCCTATATTACTTCCAAGACTGAACAAAACTACTATTTCGCTTTGCAAACACACGGGGCAAGTTCTAGGCATCAAATGCAATGTACAGAATAACACAAAACCTTACACACACATGGCACATAACTCACTCAGGATTGGACTAATCAAGACACTCTTAGTCAAAGCAGCTAAGCAAAGTTAAAATCATACAATTTAAGGTACTTCTACAAGAGTAAAAAACTGAGTCTAAGCGTCACAACCGAAGTACTCACTATTTTCAAGGCATAACAAAGTCAAGAGATTTTGCTTCAATTCAAAACACAACACAATGGCTCCTATTCCTAAAAAAAATACTAACTACACCCGGTTCAAATAAAACCCTTGAAAAAGAACCGTGGCCCAAAGAAAAATCAAGGGGGGGTTACTACACTAACTAAAACAAAACAAAAAAAATCTTTTTGGTATTTTCTTTAGACTTACTCCCCTCAAGAAAATTATCTAATAGATCCGTCATCAGGAAAAGTCCAATCTTTTAAAAAAAAAATTATTTAATTAAACGAACACAGCTACACAGCTAAAGTAGCATGAAAAATCACCCAGACAATCTCCTCACCCCACACTTAAAATTGTGCATTGTCCCCAATGCACACCCATACATACAAGAGGGTAAAAGAAACTCCCTGGTAGGCCAAAGGCCGAAGCACTAGCAGTTCATGGGGTACTCAGACTTCTCCCAAGCTTGGTCCTTCGTGTGGGTACCTCACACTTAGTTCCAACCATTTGGTTTGCTGTTGCATCCTTCCAATACCTTTGCTTTCCATGCTCCTAGAAAATAAAAAATTGACACTACAAAAATAATACAATTAAAAAAATAAAAAAATAAATAAAAGAAAGCAATAAAGCTGGGTTGCCTCCCAACAAGCGTTTGATTTAACGTCGCGGCACGACGTGAATCACTTTCTGCCTCCACTTTGAACTTATGAATCGGACTCCAAGTTTTGATTCTGCTCTATGATCATGCTCCTGGGGTGGTGGAACGAATCTGACTGGCCCAATAAAATAATGTAGTATTCTGCACTTCTTGGCCTTTATATGAGGTGTGTAATCCCGACTTTCTGGCAAGAAGAATTCCAGAATGTAAGTTCTTTGTTCCTCATTCCTTGACTCCTCAAATGGCTCGGACGACGCTATTTCCATATCATCATCTAAACACAATGTGGAAAAATACTTGGAGTGAGGACCAATGCGCTCAACTACATGAACATTGGGACTGTCTACATTCTCAACACTAATGACAATAGAGTCAACTAAATATGTATCCTCAATATCCTTGGTTGACTCTAGTATCTCTTCTACAACATCGGCATCCTCAAAATCTAGTGCGATTGATTGTTGGTGTTCTACTCTAGCCTCCTCCTCTAGCTCATCAATTTATGTATCTAATTCACGCTCTTCTTGGATACTATTCACAATATTGGCTTGTTGAGCATTAAAAACTTCAACCAGTTGACTCATGTGAACTTTCAAGTTGTGAATAGTTTCCTCCTGCCTTTCTATCCGCAGTAGTAATTTACTCTGTTGTTCCAAAATGCACTTTAACATATCTTCGAGCTTCTTTAGGTCAGCTTCCCTAGGTTCTTTGTTCCTATTAACTTCACCAGAAAAAGAAGAACCATCAAAGTAAGGGGTTGGGGGAAGGTAAGAAATATAAGCACAACCGTGAAAGTGACCATCTTGACCACCACACATATCACACACATTCCACACATAAGATTGAGTTGGTGCACAAAACTCGCTCTCACGAATATTTTGATAATTTTGCCCTGGGTGGTTTCCTTCACAATATGCATAAGGAGGATTAAAAGTAGAATTACCAACATCAAAATTCTCATAATTCCATGATGCCATGTTTCTCAAATAAACAAATAAAACTATTTAAAAAAAATCAAATAATAAAATAAAAGTTCAAACTTGAAACCTAGCAATATGTACAACTACAACTACACCGTTAGTTCCCCGGCAACGGCGCCAAAATTTGATCACGCCCAACTCTAGTCCTAAAAAGGATAAGCGGTCGCTGCAAATATAATCCGGTTTACAAGTCCGGAGTCGAATCCCACAGAGAACTAAGGCTTAGCTATAGTTGTTCAATATCGCTAAGAAATACAAGCCCAAACAATTTCCTAATTATAAAAGATTATAATGTTTATTTTTTTATCCAATTAACTAACAAATACTAGAAAGCAATAAACTATCAATTAACAAGGATAAGGGTTGGAGTCGAGATTAAGGAGGTATAGAGTTATGATTTCCCCAATTGTCGGAATCCTTCCCGCTACGTTTTCTATAAATTCGCCTAAGTATTCTCTACCGATCATGAGCGCTCTGACTGTCGTAACTCTCTCCCGAGTAATTACCACAATTTACTAGACGCACTCTCCCGAGTTACGCTAGCTGGCTTTGTTTATTACAGCTCACTTTAGATTGCACACAAGGCTTCGTTATCCCTAATCCCGCCTTTAAACCCGCAGTTATAGATCCCTCTTATACTTTGGGAGTGATGTTGTTCAACAACTATCTAAATATGCACTCTCTCCCGAGTTATGCACACTAAATAGGCACAGCTAATTGAGGATCCTGTCAATTAACTACAACAAACACGTAGTTAAACAAATAGAGAAAATACTACGGCTCAATTATATAAAAATAACAAGAATTTATCCTACAAAAGGTTCCATCAAAACCCTAGATAACAAATTAGTTATTCATAATAGCATGTAAAACTACAATACCAAAAGTCATAACCAACAATGAAAAATAGGAAGAGGAAGGAAAAACTCGTAGAAGAATTCCCCGCCTTGCTCCTAGCGTGTTCTTGCCTCCAAGGGTGTTGTCTAACCCTAAAATAGTGTCTCCTGTCCACAATAGCCTCCCTAGGTCTAAGATATGTTAATAGTATGTCCAACCTCTCAAAATAGCGTTTTTACATGTATTTATACCAAGTAGGGTCGGGCCCAGATGAAAAAAACCCATTCCTGCGCGAACTAGGACTTAGCTCTGTAAAAATTGAACAGCCGCGCCGCAGGCTGCGCCGCACCATCCGGCGCGGTAGTGCATTTTATCTGCAGCTTCATATTTTCGAGTCAGGCACAATTTTACACTGCTGCGCCGCGCCTTGCAGCGCCCCATGCGGCGCGGCAGTGTAATTTTCTCAGAGTGAACTTATTTCGTCCTCTTTTAACATCCGGACTTGGTACACGACCTCCGAACACGATCCCGGCTTAATGTATTGGGCTTTTACTCAGACTTCAAAGCTCCAAATTGATCAATTTAGCTCCAAATTAGCTTTTGAGCTCAGGATCACTTCCTGCAAGGCATAAAACACCTACTAAGTGCAATTCACTATCGTTTGAGCTCAAACTCAATTAAAGTGGAGTAAATTAGAGTGTAATAAGCGACTAAAATACCCAATTATAGCCTATCATCACGTCGTCTACGAGATATCAAATAAAGCTTTCGTCAGGGGGAGTATAATACGCGCTGTACTCTTTTTCCCTTAACCAAGGTTTTGTCCCAAGTGGGTTTTCCTGGTAAGGTTTTTAATGAGGCAGCACTCAATGCGTATTACTTACAAGATATGTGTACTCTTTTTCTTTCACTAGGCTTTTTCCCACTAGGTTTTCCTAGTAAGGTTTTAACGAAGTACATTATCTTTTAAATGGACATCCAAGGGGGAGTGTTATAAATGAGATGAGTGCATGTGAGTGAGGTGTATGTCCATTTAACGTACTTTGTATTCATGTACTCAATTAAGAAGTACATTAACTTATAACTAGTGAATGAATTTGTACCTTTATAAATAGGGAACTTTTGACCCTATGAATGATATACCAAGAAAAGAAATAACAAAATATTCTCCCTCATATTTATTTTGTCTCAATTAGTATATTGTTCTATTTTGCTCTCATTTCTTAATAATTCCTAAGTTAAAAGAAAAAAAGAAAAAAACTGAAAAATTACTACATTGGGTCACAATGGTTAGAAAAGTCTATTAGACACGTTAATTTGAACACAAATTCATTCTCATTGAAGAGATATACTAGACATGAAAAAAACAACGGTCTTAAAGATTGAATGTTAAAAGCAATTATCTTTTATCTACGACGCACATAGACACGGCTGTAAGAAGTCAAATATTCCTTTGGTAAATATTCAAGTTAGGCTTACTAACTTGAATATTTTTTTGAGATCATGAGAACAAATGATATTTCACATAAATATTATTTAAATAACTGACCTTTTATCATGAATTTGATATCTCTTGAGAGAAAATCCAAATAACATTTTACTTTATGTTTAACAATATCAATAATAAAATATAAAATAAAAAAAATGCTTATATCGTGTTTCTCTAAATAATTATGTTCCTTTATTAGTAACTTATTTTTTTTAAAAATATTTAGCTGTTAAGAAAAAGAACTTTTCAAAAGATTACTTATTTTATTTAAAGGACCCAATTATTTGTGAGAGAAAATACATACTTTTTATTTATTTTATATAATTATATTATAATAACTACTATGTATAGGTATTCAATGTGATTTTCATGGTTGGTGTTATGAACTACTTAATCAATACTAATCAGGCGACCATACGACCATTTACACCAGTCTTTTACAGAAACTTGTACTTAATTATTACCCCTTAAGAATAATTTTGCTATGACATAACTCGACATACACTTACAACCCACGTGCCGAAAAACTAATCTAAAAAAGAAAAGATCACACACCTCCCTTTAGGATTTTTCCAGGGACTCAAAGCAGAAAGAGATTCGTCCTTTTCCTTTTCCTTTCCCTTTCCTTTATTCCCCAGGTCACGCGCACACACAACGGACACCCACCACGGAGTTTTGCTCCTCCTTGATCTCTCTCTGATAAAAACACGCACAATGGGGGAACAAGAAGGCAGAGAGATACAGATCTAAAAAACCAAATCTGGGAAAAGGAGCAGAAAAGAACTTTTCTTCTCTTCTCTGCAACTCCATTTTTCCTTTTCTCTGCTTTGAGCTCACTATAGAAGCCACGAAAACTTCTGCACCAAACTCGTGAAAATGCAGCCGTGAAAGGCCAATGTTCAGCTTCTGCACAAAACACCTCAACCAAGCTTACAAACACCTAAAACAACCAGATCTTCATCATCACAAACACCCAGCATTTTCTCCATAAAGTGGTCCGATTTTCTCCATTAAAACCATGTAAACAGCCCCAAAAACCACCCGCAAAACAGCTCGAAAATAGCTGGAAAACAGTCATTAAAACCTGCAAAAACGTAGCAGCTCCGACCCTGTTGAGCTTCGAATTTTCCCGGTAGGCTTCGAGGTCGCCGCCGTTGAGGACCGTTCGTGGTTCGGTTCGCGTTTCTGCTCGAAGTATGATCGTCGTGTCGAGTTCCGGTCGCAACTGTCCCTTTGTTTCAGTCCGTGTAACTGCTGGAATTTTTATTAATTGAAAACAACTTCAGGTTCCATTCTTTCCTCTCTCATTCTATTCTAATGTCGATTTTAATATGGTTTGATCCCAGACTATGGTTTTGCTGGATTTGTGATGGGAAATTGGTTTGAGTGATTCTTATTTTTCTGTTGTCTGTCAAGTTTTGACTTTTGCTAAGTTCCACTAAAAAGGGTGTTGTGTCAAGTCCAAAGCAAGCAGATTCAAAATGTTCACTCTATCTTCTCATATATTGGTGCTTCTGTGAATACCTGTGACAAAACCAGCCTTTCATTAGTATTGCCAGGAGGATATGGTAGAGTGTAGGCTTCCCATATGCTATAAATGCAACATGATTAGTTATGGAAGACTAGAACCAACCTAATTAAATATGTTGAATATCATATATTTAAATGTGTGCTCAAGATGATGTCCACGGTAACATAGGTGATAAGTGGTGTGCCATTATTTTTACTTGAGCGGCTCAACTGCCCGAATTGGGTTGTGGGTGTTGGGGGAAAGGCCGAGCTCGTTAGTGATTAAATTGTTGGCCTGAGTCCAATAAACATGTAAGCTAGCTCTCCTTTATAAATTAATATAACTTCAAATGACTTCCATAATACCTACGACATTCACAATAATCTCCATAATTCATGACCTTACAATAATCTCAAAGTTCAGGAAGAATAATGAACACCGTTAGAGTACTTTAGGCGCGTTTTGAAATTATTATCGTGATTATGTATACATTCGCGGACATAGTTACGATTTCCAAAGTTAAAACCAAGGTATGCGTTCGCAAAACTTTGGACGAAACAATCTTAGTAATAATAAAGTATTATTAATTGTGTACACGTATACGTGACATGATTTTTGACGCGCCGAACAAAAAAGAGTACACGTACGCGTGACTAGTTTCAAGATAATTCCGTAGTGGTGAATAATCAAGCAATTTGAAAGCGCGGTAAAAGGTAAAATGTACGTAGGTTCAAAAAATACGTAATTAAACAAATTATTAAGCCAGGTTTGTTTAAAAGCTAGCGTGCTAAAACCACGGAACTCGGGAATGCCTAACACCTTCTCCCGGGTTAATAGAATTCCTTGCTCGATCTTCTGGTTTCGCAGACTTTAAAACAAAGTCAAATTTCGTCGATTTGTGATTTAAAACAAACCGGTGACTTAGGACACCACCATAAATTATTCCAAGTGGCAACTCTGAATTAAATAAATAATCTTATTTCGATTAATGTCACTTAAATTGGAAAAACACGTATCCCCTCGGGAAAAAGGAGGTGTGACACGCTTCAATTCCAAGCAAGTTTGGATTGGCTATAAAAAATTCTCATTGTCCAAGTCGGAAAACTTCAATTCAGTTAACTTGGTAACTGGATTAAAGTGGATAAAATTTTGAGTTTGAACTCAATCAAGTTCTGCTTGCAGTCAACAAGTGCTGTAATTTACCCTTGATTAAGGTCTTTGTGGCATATGTTCCCGTAAAAGCTAATTTTAATTTTTACCCCATGCATAAGGACTTTTGCTAGTCCCCAACTAATTTGTACTGAATCAGTATTTTTGTTGTAGCCTCTCCACCTTGCATTTTCTTATTGCTGGACTTCATTAAATAGTTAAGACTTTTACTTAGTTTAAAAAGAAAGAAACTAATAACATAGCGGCAAGGGATATTTTTCTATAGGTAGATAAAAAAAAATATACGTGAAGGACATATATAAACAACTAAATCTGTTTCGTTTGAACCTTGAATGAAACATGTCATAATTTCTCGTTGTTCTTGGGTTTTCTAAATTATTTGCAATTCAAAATCTTCTAAAGCGAGATGCCTTGATTGTATGTGCTAATTGTTCGGTGACTTTATTCCTTACAACATAAAGCTCCTTGCATTGAGGAACTTGAGGATAAGATGCAGAAGCTTCACAAAGAACGAGAAGCAGCCATATTAGAAAGGAGAGCTGCTGATAGTGATGATGACATGAACGGACTAGTAGCTGCTATAAGTGCTGCAAATCAAGTTCTAAGTAAAGGAGTTGGTAATACAGAAACAATAAAAATTGTGGCAGCTGCAGCTCTGGCTCTAAGAGCAACTCTGAGGGAAGGAAGGAATTTTCCAGTCGAGCTAGATGAATTCAGTAAAGATGGGAATATGCAATATCAAATGGATGTGAGCAGAAGGGCAAACGCCCGAGAACACAAGAGAGCAAGAAATGATGTTATGAGAATGCCAGTTACAGGATCCTATTCGCCAATAGAAGGAGAATTAGACACTGATGAATGTGACACCGAGAGCAATGCGTATCGGTCTCATCGTGATCAATTGCTTCACTCTACTAAATAGATTTTTGGTGATAAACATGAATACTCTGAATTTTTTGTAGTTGTAGAAAATTTTATAGATGGAAGAAAGATTATACTTCAAGCTATCGTGATGCACATGTGTCCGTTTGTATATCTGCTATTTTCTCACCCTATGTGAGGCTGAAGCTTCTGAAGTGGGATCCTCTACATGAAAATGCAGATTTCATGAATATGAAATGGTAAGTGCATTTCCTCTCAAATTTTGTAAATACTAGACTCGGGGGTTGTGAGAGGAAACTTTTCCTTGTCCGACTGTGAGACTTCCTTTTTTGGGACCTAAAAGTTTGTAGCATTATAATTGATATATATGAAAATTCAAATACGGAAAGATGTCGTTGAGCCGTATATTCACTTCTATACAAATTTTTCATCTCTCTCACACCATCTTGGTAAGGAACTTTTGACTTGTAAAAAGATTCTAATATGTAAAATATACATATATACATGTTTTATAAGATTTAGCTTTGAACTATAATTTTGCTTCATTCCAGGTATACTTTGCTTCATAAGTATGGACTCTCTACGGATGAAAATCCAAATAGCTTTGATGACGCTGATGCCAATCCTGTTCAATTGGTGATGAAACTTGCAATGCCCATTCCACATAACCGGTTAGCTCAGTGCTGGTATGTGTTTAGCACCCGTGAGACACTGTGTGCTGTATCTGCCATAAAACTGGTGTTAAGAAGACATCTTCCGTCCACTGTCCCTTCATACACTGATCTAGGTAACATGGTTCATGAGCGTCTAGATAAGGCTGTTGCTAATTTGACGGTCTCTTTCTTAGATCATTACAAACGTTAGAAATCTTTCTTCATTTAGTTTCAGACAAATGGTCTGAAACTAAGTACTGGTCTTTGCAGGTCCCTGCGTTGGACTCACTTGTAATGGAAGTTGTACCTGATGCAGCACGAGTCGCTGCATATAGGTTTGGAATGAATCTTCGCTTGATGTCTAATATATGCTTGTTCCATGACGGTCGGATTCTTGCCATGGATGTCATAGAAGAATTTGCTCTTGATAATCTCTTATGTGGGAAGATTCTTTCTAGGCATCCAAGCAAACATTCACGATGCTATTATTAGAACTGAGAAAGTTATTTTATTAACTGGTATTTTTGCAGGTCCTAGTGTTACAGGGCATCGCAGGTATTGTTTATTTAAGTAGGTCAATGTAAACCATTTTCTTTTCTTTACCTACAGATTGCCTTTTGGTTTACATTGACCTACTTAAATAAACAATACCTGCGATGCCCTGTAACACTAGGACCTGCAAAAATACCAGTTAATAAAATAACTTTCTCAGTTCTAATAATAGCATCGTGAATGTTTGCTTGGATGCCTAGAAAGAATCTTCCCACATAAGAGTTTATCAAGAGCAAGTTCTTCTATGACAGCCATGGCAAGAATTCGACCGTCATGGAACAAGCATATATTAGACATTAAGCGAAGAGACATTCCAAACCTCTATGCAGCGACTCGTGCTGCATCAGGTACAGCTTCCATTACAAGTGAGTCCAACGCAGGGACCTGTAAAGACCAATACTTAGTTTCAGACCATTTGTCTGAAACTAAATGAAGAAAGATTTCTAGACGTTTGTAATTTTCTAAGAAAGAGACCGTCAAATTAGCAACAGCCTCATCTAGACGCTCATGAACCGTGTTAACTAGATCAGTGTATGAAGGGACAGTGGACGGAAGATGTCTTCTTAAAACCAGTTTTATGGCAGATACAGTACACTGTGTCTCACGGGTGCTAAACACATCCCAGCACTGAGCTAACCGGTTATGTAGAATGGGCATTGCAAGTTTCACCACCAATTGAACAGGATTGGCATTAGCGTCATCAAAGCTATTTGGATTTTCATCCGTAGAGAGTCCATACTTATAAAGCAAAGTATACCTGGATTGACGCAAAATTATAGTTCAAAGTTAAATCTTAAAAAAGCATGTATATATGTATATTTTACATATTAAAATCTTTTTATAAGTCAAAAGTTCCTTACCAAGATGGTGTGAGAGAGATAAAAAATTTGTATAGAAGTGAATATATGGCTCAACGACATCTTTTCGTATTTGAATATTTTATATATATCAATCATAATGCTACGAACTTCTAGATCCGAAAAAGGAAGTCTCACAGTCGGACAATGAAAAGTTTCCTCTCACAACCCCTAAGTCTAGTATTTACAAAATTTGAGAGGAAATGCACTTACCATTTCATATTCGTGAATCTACATTTTCATGTAGAGGATCCCACTTCAGAAGCTTCAGCCTCACATAGGGTGAGAAAATAGCAGGTATACAAACGGACACATGTGCATCACGATAGCTTAAAGTATAATCTTTCTTCCATCTATAAAACTTTCTCACAACTACGGAAAATTCAGAGCATTCATGTTCATCACCAAAAATCGATTTAGTAGAGCGAAGCAATTGATCACGCTGAGACCGATATGCATTGCTCTTGGTGCCACTCTCATCAGTGTCTAATTCTCCTTCTATTGGCGGATAGGATCCTATAGCTGGCATTCTCATAACATCATTTCTTGCTCTCCTGTGTTCTCGGGCGTTTGCCCTTCTGCTTACATCCATCTGATTCTACATATTCCCATCTCTACTGAATTCATCAAGCTCGACTGGAAAATCCACAATTTTTATTGTTTCTGCATTACCACCTCCTTTACTTAGAACTTGATTTGCAGCACTTATAGCAGCTAATAGTTTCCTTCATGTCATCATCACTACGGCAGCTCTCCTTTCTAAGATGGCTGCTGCTCGTTCTTTGTAAACCTTCTGCATCTTATCCTCAAGTTTCTCAATGCAAGGAGCTTTATGCTGTACGAAATATAGTCACCGAACAATTAGCACATACAATCAAGGCATCTCGCTTTAGAAGATTTTGAATTGCAAATAATTTGGAAAACCCAAGAACAACGAAAAATTATGACATGTTTCATTCAAGGTTCAAACGAAACAGATTTAGTTGTTTATGTATGTCCTTCACGTATATTTTTTGTTATCTACCTAAAGGAAAATATTCTCTGCCGCTATGTTATTAGTTTCTTTCTTTTTAAACTAAGTAAAAGTCTTAACTATTTAATGAAGCCCAACAATAATAAAATGCTGGGTGGAGAGGTCACAACAAAAAATACTAATTCATTACAAATTCTGAGGGTGGATAATCATTCCATGCTGCTAATATCAAATGTTCCTCAGAAATAATTAAACAATAGATGACACCCTCAGATCGTTTTCAAAATCCATGTTCACCTGGCCACACCCAGGGGACTTATTCAAACCTTTGCTCTTCATCAACTCTTTCTTGCGATAAGCTTGACTCCATCTCCCATTAGAGGCATATAAATTTGACATAAGCGCATAGTAACAAGCATCATGAGGATGCAACTCAAGCATTTTCCTCACTGCTACCTCCCCTAGGTCAAATCTGGTGTGAATACCACATCCATGGAGAAAAGGAGCAAACATAGAAATAACAGGTTGATTTACCATATTTTCAATGAAATCCAGGGCTTCCTAAAGCCGTCCAGCGCGAACCAGTAAATCAACCATACATGTATAGTGCTTCATGGAAGGAACAAAACTATATTCCTCACACATTGTATAGAAAAATCTCCATCCCTCCTCTATCATCCCTCTATGGCTAAGCAGATAGTATAGAAGTGAAGATTATATCATTAGGTTCAAAACTTTCCCTGATCATATCGCTGAGAAGCGCAAAGGAATTCTTGCAGTCCCCTTGCATTGCATAACCACCTATCATCGAATTCCACGTCACTGCATTCCTATCTGTCATCTCATCGAAAACAACACGAGTAGATTTTGCATCACCAGATCTAGCATACACATTAACAAGTGCAGTATCTACATATAAATTAGACGATAAAAGACCCTCTTTGATAGTAAAAGCATGAAAAGAAGATCCAACTCTAAGATTCGCAAGTGAAGCGCAAATTGATAGGACACACACCATAGTAAATTCATCCGTCTGAAGATGTTTAGATCTCATTCTATGAAACAATATCATACCCTCATTAGCAGATCCATTCAATGAATACGCAGAAAGCCAGAAATAAGTGAGTTCCAGGCAACTACATCATCGTGTGCGAAGTTCTCAAATAAGCATCGAGCATCTGCCATTGCACCACACTTCACATACATGCCCACTAAAGCATTTGTCACAGTAGCCTCATACATTCCTAGCTTAATCCCCAGAGTGTGGACTGATTTTCCCATCTTCAGATTGTTCAACTGTTCACATGCTGAAAGTACGCTAGAAAGAGTGATTGAATTAGGCAATATTCCTTGCCATTTCTCGTATGTAAAGAGTTTCAATGCTTCATCTGGATAGCCATTTTGACTATATCCAAAAATCATCGTTGTCCACGTAACAAAATCATATGCACAAAACTCATCAAAAATCACATGAGCCTCAGCAATAGCGCAAACTGTTCGATGAAATTCCAAACCCAGATCCTTTTTCTTGTAAAGCAATGATAAGATGGTATTTTATGAACGATACGTATGATGAGATTATTGGGTTCTATAATTTCATGAGAAAAGGTCTCACTTTGTTTGACAATGTCGTGTTCTCGATCGTTTTAAAGGCTTGTAGTGAGTTGTGTGATATTGACGAAGGTAGGAAATTGCATTGTCATATTGTGAAAGGTGGAAATCCTGATAGTTTTGTGTTGACTGGGCTTGTTGATATGTATGCTAAGTGTGGAAAGGTCGAATCTTCGCATGATGTGTTTGATGATATTTTAGATAGGAATTTGGTTTGTTGGACTTCAATGATTGTTGGTTATGTACAGAATGATTGTGTTGAAGAAGGGGTGGTTTTATTCAATAGGATGAGGGATGGGTTAGTTGAAGGTAATGAATATACTTAGGGGAGTATAGTAACGGCATGTGCTAAATTGAGGGCTTTACATCAAGGGAAACAGGTTGCATTCTTTAAGTGCCCAAACAGTCCATATAAACTAATTAACTTTGTTTTTAAGAGGACATCATGCGTTTCGCCGTGAACTATGAAAAGGGCATGGAATTTTTTGAGAGAAGATATGGTTTTGCAAAGATTGAGAAGTGCAAAACATGGGTTTGAAGATATTGATGCCAAGCTTGATTCGGTGCCTATGGTGTTCGGCAGGAAATTTTGGCTGATTCATGTTGAAGTAAAAGCTCTATATTGAGTGAAGTGAGAGAGTTGTTTTTGCAGTTGAATGAAAATTTTCATACTTCATCCTTCACTTCCTCTGGGGTTGGCTGGGTTCTTGATTTTCAGTTACAAGCTTCCCACTGTTACGCAGGTGTATTCTGAATATTCTAAAAACTTAATAAGTACATAAAATTATTTCTTTTAATTTACTTCTTTTCTATAAATAGAATCAGGATATCTATTTTTCCTTTTTCTTATTTTTCTTAAATACTAATAAGAGATACTAAAAGCTCAAATATATAAACTAACATAATTTAAGTTAATTGATGATTTAACTTTATATTACGCACATTGGAGTTTTATTTAGAAATTTAATCCTTATTTATTTACTGAACTTTATTGTCTGAAATACTGGTGAAATATTGAAAAAATTATTTAAATAGTATCTCAAGTGAAATAAATGCTTTCTCAGTAACAAAATTTTTTCAAGTTACAAATTTTACTAGTTTTTTTCAAGTCAAGTTCATGCCCAAACGTAACTTTAACTTACAATTTTTATTTTTATTTTCAATTCAACTTCAGATATTTCTTTCTTCAACCTCAATCAAATATTGTTAGAACGCTTATTAAATTTTGAATTTGAACCCTAAAGATATTATACATAGCAGTGTTAGACCCTTTTATTTTCAAAAAGAATGGAATATATAATCAAAGTGATTAAGATATAAAATTAAGGTATGACAATATTATTCTCTTTGTTTTCAAAAGGACGATAATGTCATGATAGGAAGGTCAAACTATCTAATTCTTATTTTATATTTTTAATATGATAATAATTCATTTCATTAATATTATAATTTAACTCTAATTCTCTAAATTTCAGATACTTACCTAAGTATTATTTCATTATTTTTTCTTCTTAATATTACTTTCCAATATTTCTTTGAGCATCCGTTTTTAAAATGAATCAACTTCTTCCTCAAGCTAAGACGTAAAGTTCAATATTTTATTGCTTGTTTTTTTTAATCTTCATAACTACATCAGTACTCTCTAGATCCCTACGAAATCCTTCTTTTCCTCTTAATTCTTTAGTAAAACTTTCTCTAAGTTTTTGCTCAATTTTTGTAAATTTATTAGCAGAATATAAATGTCCTTCTATTTTTTTTAGGGAATTTATCTTTAATCATTGTGAAAAAGCTAATACCTCCATGATTCAGTAATATTATACTGAATTTGCACCAGGTATAATTACATAGCCTGATAATACTTGATTTTAAACTATTGTGTTTGCTTAACTATTTTGTGGCATATTCACTTCACTTGTAATACAAA